ATAATTTTTTTAAAATTAATTTTCTGTTTACTACTGTTCAGGTCAAAGAAAATATACACGCCTTCAAAGGTGATCCCAAACGCATAACACTGTTTGGTGAGGGGGCTGGCAGTTGGTCGGTAGCGGCTCACATAATATCCCCGCTGACCAAAGGCCTGTTCAATAGGGCGATCCTCAGCAGCGGTGCACTCCTTGAGTTCAAAAACGGGTTTCTCAACAAAACCGAGGCTTTGAAACAATCCAAGGAAATGGCGAAACAGTTTGGGTGTCAACTGAAGGGCATGTTTGCGAAGAATTGGATTGAGTGTCTCAAAGATCCTAAAAAAATAAACACTAATGAACTCAGCAAGTACACCAGCTTCTTTGCTTACCCGGTCTATGGCACTGAATACCTGCCCTACAACGCACAGACAGCTTTTAAAAAAGGCAAATTCAGAGATGGTATGCATACGGGTCTGGGATGTCATGTGAGAGGTTAAGGGAATAATGCTTTGATTCTCATATAGACATTGAGTTGATGGCCGGTGTGACCACAAACGAGGGCCCTATAATCACAAAGTTTGTCTACCCGGCCACTAACATACAGTCCATAGCGTCGAAACAGGACTTCCAGTTCACAGTCAATCGGATGCCATTTGACGGCCTAAAGACGGATAAAATAATAGACTTTTATATCTCGCGAGACAAAGACCCGTTCGCTACGGACAGGTTCAACACGGCTTTCAACGAGTTTTACGCCGACTTCCGGACGGTGTGTCCGACGTATCTCTTCGCACAACTGTTTGCCAAATACTCATCCGATGGGAACGTCTACTTCTATCAGTACACCAAACGTCCCGTCGCTCAGTGCGAGTCACACAACATGAGTCGATGCCATGTCGGTGAAGACATGAGTTTCGTGTTCGGAGAGCCCGTCCTCTTGACACCGTCCGAAGCGCCGAAGCCATCGGCTGTCAGTACTATAACCACTGCTATAGTGGCCCAACAAAAGGCACGACTGGCCGCCCAAAAGGTACAAAAGGCTAAACTCGCACAACAACAAAGAGCTAAGGCTGCTGCCCGGCCTGTCAAAGTTGCCGTCACTACGTCTGTTCAACAGGTAGTTGTTGCACAACCGGCCGATACGGTTCTACCAGCGGCTGGTCAGGAACAGCCTGCCAGTCCTCCAGCAGATCCCAATGCCGCCACTCCAGTAGGTGATGGCAATCCTCCTCCCCCTCAAGATCCCAACGCTGCCCCACCCGCTGTTGCTCCGGCTGATGGTCAGGCGCCGCCTCCCGCTCCAGAAACTAGTGGACAGCCGGTCGAAGTGACAACGGGTGCACCCATTGGGGGTGAAGTGCCGCCTATGGCTCCCAACCAGATCTCTAGGAAAAAGCGCTCAAACCCTATGCCCACTAAAATCAAAGTGATTGGACCCAAAGGACCGAAAGTGATTGCCCCCAAACCGGCTCATGAAGCCAATGATACCGAGGATACCGATGCTGTCACTGATACCGCTACCGAGGATACTGTGCTTAAAGAAAGTGCGCCACTACCTGCTCCTGACACTACAGCTGTAGCAGCACCTATAGCAACTGATCCGCCATCCACTCCACCTCCCACTGAACCAATTGCTGGAACAGTAGTGGCGCCGGTGGCTGACACTCCTGTTACAGAACCACCACAACCACCACCTCAAGAAGCAACAGCGCCTGTAGCCGGAGCTCAGGCTGTACCAGATGCTGCCAGTGCCCCACCATCCAGTGATGCCCAACCTGTGAGCGAACCTCCAGCTCCGGTTGTTGATGCCGGTGCTGCTCAACCTATACCCGAACCTATAAGTACAGCCGACTTTGTGGACTAATTTCGCCAAAACTGGGTATAAATCGCACGAAAACTAATGAATGATTGTTTTTGAGATAATTTTTGTTGTATGTATTGATTGATTGGTGGATAGGATGCCGACGGATAAGAAAAAGTGGCCGAAACTGAAAAAGCCTGTCAAAGGATTGTTTGGCAAAACTTCGGCCAAATTCTATGAGTTGAATGCAGCCGTCAGTCACCATATCGTGGAGAATGCTTTTGAGGAGACTTGCGATACATTTTGGAAAGACTATTACCAATGATTTAATACTCATCAATAGTATTCACTGTTTGTGTCCAATAAATTATTATTGCAATCATATCTGATTTTTATTTGTCTATTTTTATGGTAAAGTTTATGTTGTACTTGTCTAAATACAAAGTGGAGTTATACAGTAGTTTGAAAATGTTGTTTATTTATTGGGTATTTGACATTTTAGAAATCTATAATAGTACTGTAACAGTTTGACATTTGTGAGATAACCTTACAATTGTTAGTAAAATTAGAAACAAAGTTGACTTAATTAGTATAAGTATCACATAAATAGGGATAATTAATATTATCTATTTCACTTTTAGGGTTTCATGAAAGTAAAACTTTAGCTAAATACTTATAAATATATCTGGATTGTTTAGTAGATTAAGTTGATAGTGTAATAGGCATCAAAAGTATCATACTTGTAGTAATGGTTTTATCGTTTATTTTCTCAATACTGGTATACCTTTTGAAGTTCAAATGAAATCAATTTTTAAAGTTTACAAAAAAGTTTATTAAAATAACGTATAATTACTTTCTGTCGGAAACTGATGTCATAAACAGTATATTAGAGAAGGTGTATTGATATGTTATTTAAAACAACTTTTAATTTTCTTGTCTATAATTATAATTTATTTGAACAATGTTTACGTGATTATCATTTGAGTTCATGAGATAAAAGGTTACAATAACTACTGCATAATACAGTGTC